CGCCTGGTCCATGTGCTCTCCTCAAAGATGGAACAAATTGACACGTCACTTTCCTACCACCTAATTTCAGAAGTGATTGGTTAGGCAAACGCTGAATGTTAAAATATAAACGAGATGTCTTTTTTTTATAAAAGAAACTCGCATCGTGCAATATTGAAATATTCGTCTGTCGTCGCTTGTTGTTGGAATAAGATAATGACGACCAGAAATCATGTTCATTTGTTACTAATGCCGTTTGTGAAGTGGACTCGTCAATATGACCAACTTTTTGTATTAAGTAGACAGGTTCATCTGTACTTATCTTTACAATCTGTTCCATAGCTGGATATAACATATCATTTTTTCGTCGTTTTTTTAACGCTAGTTTACAACTGGTATTCGGTTGGATCTTTATTGCGCCAAACTCTTTCAAAAGTCGCTCGTGTTTGTATACAAAATTGACAAATTCCGTCAGCTCGTTGTTATTGATTTGTAAAGTTGGAACATTTATCGAGATTGATGACATTTTTATCCTAAATATTTGCAAAATTAGATCCCGTTATTTATATAAATCTATACTAATAATTATTAATCTATTCGAAAAATCAACCGTTTTAATGCGGTGTTTGATATCATACTAATCTCTATGTATAGAACTTTTCTTTCAAATATAAAAAGCGTCTCTCGATAGAAACGAACCGATCGATTAAGTGTGTCAAATATAATCGACACTCACTTATGGAGTCGCTTTCGCCATTCTGCTGCTCGAGGATATTATTCTTGGAATAGAAAAATTATTTTCGTGTTTATTAAAGAGAGATTCTAAGAAAAACAACTTATTTTATATTGATGACATTCGTATAAAGCAGAGCAGCAAAAATTATTTGATATTTAAGTCGGCGAATATGATGTTGTCATCTGTAGAAATCTAGACTAGTGGTTGATACAGATTTAATATTTCTCTAGTATTCTTCTCTAGACATTTATGTATAAATAAACCTCCTTGCTCAAAATAAATATTGGCGTTATGAATCTCGAAAGAAATAGAAAGTCTATGAAAAGATAAGAGCGATGTTTGATTATGTTGATATATGAGGATAAAAAAAAATATATATGATGGCGTTAATATAGCGTTCTTTGGTACAGATAGAATCTTTCAATCAGGTTTAGCAATTAAATGTCTATCGATAATAGAAATATAAAACTATATACATGTTTATAAGTCGGGGTTGTATAAAAAACTACGACGAATCACGATTATTGTATGCTTTACATTACGAACTTAGACTATTGTCACAAACGAAGTTCGGATGTGATCGTAGTTTGGCCACGTATTTTTCTTATATGTAGCAAACAGATATGTGCGGCGCTTGGCTCACAACTAAATTTATGCAGTTTAGACTACTTTTTTTGATATTTAAAGAAAGAAAAATGCATCAAAGAAAGATTTTATGTAACTCACGTATATTTTTAAAGAAAATAGAGTGTAATTTTTAACTTCAAGTTTTTGCAGCTTCTCCGCCATTACAGATCTCAGCAACCCCCCCCCCCCACAAAAGGCTTTAGATTTACTTAACAATAAAAAAAGCTTGTTAGCACAAATACTACGTTGAGCAAAAAGTTCGCGATCAGATCACGTAATTTGTGAACAAAATTCCTATGTAAAATACAGGAATTCTGTGTTCACAAATTACGTGATCTGACTGCGAAATTTTTGCTCAACCTAATACTTTGGAGCTGAAATGTGGAACTCACGTATACCCTTCTAGTTTTTTATCCTAATGCATTACTGGTAAACTAAAAAAACTTTTTTTTTCAAATATTTATCAATGCATTAGAATATTGTATAGAATCTGAAATCTTTTGTGCATAGTTGCTGAGGTCTGTAATGGAGAGGTGTCTGTAATGGGGTGACGGGAGGGAAAGCCGGAAAACTTTGCCTTTAAAATTTTCACTTACTATTTTCTTCGGAAATATACGTGAGTTTAACAAAAAAACGAGTTTAACAATATGAAAAATGAGTTCGACTTCAATATAATATTTCAATGCTGTCATAATTATTTGAAAATAACCATTATACATTTGTTAAAATTCTTAATAGTGTAATCGTTGACTTCTTTTAGAGTTTAAAATTGTATGTTAAAAATCAAGCATGAAGAGCAATAATATATGTTGATCTGTCATAGCATTCATATAATCAACATGAAAAGCATGATTCGATCTGTTTATCAGTTTGAAAGCTAAACAATATCACCATTTATGGATTGATGAGATGCATTGTAATGTGGCAATAGCTGCTGATGCATATAAACTGTATTATGGTAGTAGTTTTATTTATCAAATCGACAATGATGAAAAAATAATAATAATTTCCAATTAACAAAAAAAAACAAAAAAAAGTGACTATTAACAAACATATAGCAATAATTATAAATCAAATAGGATGCTCTGAAACGAAAAGTGCACGGATAATGCACCAAGATAACAAGGTTGAAGAATTTACGTGCGTTGCACATTTCAGCTTCAAAAGAGCTACGCTAACAAGCTTAGTTTTATTCTCCTTCCTTTGATCATTCGTATATTTCTTTGATATCTTCGATATCAGCATTTCGTTTCTATTATTTCTTATTGTTGATCTTGTCATTGAAAATATTGACTTCTAGTTCTGCATTGAAGATTTATGACGAGTGAAGCCTGATTTCAAGAAAATTATTACCAGAAATACAACTTCGAGAGATATGATCGCCATTATCATGTCAGGATCGATCAAGTGTCTAAGAATGACGTTACAGGTCAGACAATACGCTAAATATGATGGATCTCAATCTTAGTTCTGCGAGATGCTAAAAAGCTCTTTCCTCTTTCAATTATATATTGGGGATGAGAGCAACAATGAACTGGAAAGCGACCGTTGAGTTTAAGGACAAATTGTTGAATTCTAAGTATGAAATTAACCAGAATCGAAAGTGTTTGATCTATAATACCATTATTAGACAGTTGATCAACCTGTAAATTATGCTTACAGTTGGGCGTGACAAACTGCCAGGATGTCCCAACATTCATTTATTCACGTAGGTTCACCCATCTATCAGAAAAGTTTGATCTTTTCATCACTTATATAATGTTACTGATCTGTGAGTATTTGAGATCTATATATTAGGGATCCCGAAAGATGCGCACGGCGAAACTTGCGCACGTAGACGCTGAGGGCTCTGGCTGAGGCTGTGAAGTGCGCATGATGGTGCGGATGTAAGTGAGGATGAGGACGAAGGTGATGGTGAAGGCAGTGAACTTGAAACGGTTCGTTCTGCTTCAAAACCCTCATTTTCCGTTCCATGCGCAATTCTCGTCGTGCGCATCATTCGTAGACCCATATATTAGGAAATATGTGGATTACTAAGGAGGTCCTTATGATCACTGTGCTAAACGTGTCTCACATCGTATTTGTTAACATACACCATTCTCCACTAAGAAATCTGAAACAACATTAAAGTCCAATTAGTTTCATTATCAAGTAATTAATCAGAAAATACAATATATCAATTTGTTTATCTACGAATAGAATGTTTTATTAAGTTCAAATTACAGAGAATGCAAACAACTTGTACGATTTTTGTTGCCTTATGAAAACCATCAATAGTTCCTCTGTAGACACCACCAAGAATTGCATAAATTTTAAGACGTTGATTAATATTTTCAATAGCTGCTCTTGTGCTATTAATGTCATGATTCAAATCCTTATCTTCATCTATTAATTCACGTCCATGAGGCTTCTTTTTGGGAGTAATTACGTATTCTTCACCAATATATCCTTTATCCGCAATAATTTGCACGGCGTTGTTTACATGTTCTAATAGTCCTGATTCTCTTAGAACTGTAATGTCATCTACACTTCCACGAAAACATTCGGATACGTGTACTATTCGATAATGAAAGTCATGAGCTATTTGCACTTTCAATGCATAATTTGTTGAAATTTTCGCACAATAATATGCTTTACGTTGTTCTGAATCATAAAGTTCAGGAATTGCAATAAAAGTCGAGTCGACTATTTAGTTTATGATATCATTGAGGTTCGTGTGGTGTTCTACGGCTAGATATATTAGCAGGTATTGAAATTAAATCTGGATATAAACACGAATGTAAAATATTGATAACTGTTGACAATAAATAATTCGCTGCTTGTTGAATTAAATTCAATTCTAAAGCAATATAACGTTCTGAATGATAATATTTTAAGTACCATAGTGTAACGACAAGCGTATTCATAGGAGATAAATACGAGGTAGTGGCACTGTTTGTAAGTCGGTGGTTCCTATGGGAGCAATAGTTTATAAGCGGTTGTTCACACATAGAAAATAATTCTTGTACTTGCTCGACGTCATGGCCAGTATGCTGTAAGCAAGATGCATTGGAACGTCTCCATTCTGACCAAGGACGTTGTTTTACAGTATAGAAAAAAAGTACAATAGTTATTAATTTTTGACTACTCCTGTAGCACAAAACAATCGACTAATAGATGCATGTGTAAACTAACAGAGTAATGTTACTTACTATCATCTAAGGC